CCTTCCATCCCCTGTTTTATTCTGACCATCCTCTTGTTAATTGCCTGATTCTCCCCATGCTGAGCAGGTTTACCACATGATGCTCCTGACACTTGCCAGCTGCACTGCAGGCTCCCAGGCTCTTTTGCAGAGCATCCTCTTCCCTCCTACCATGCCAAGTTCCTAGTCACACAAGGCTGTGCAGCTGGGAGCCAGATTTTTCCTAAAACATTGTTTCCTCAGCTTTCTGCCACTGCTCCCAACTAGAGGCTTGATGCATAAAAAAAAAAAGAAGAGTTGGAAGAATTTCATCTGCTTTCAATTTGACTGGGAATTGGAGATACAAAATGTTTTTAGCTTCTAGAAGAGCTTTTTGGATCCCTTTGGGAGATGTAGAAGGCATGGAAGTCCATAGCAAACTACCTATTCTTTCCCTTCCAGCTTCTTGTTTTCTGGTGCTGCTCATAAAGGATCTAGCCACGGGGTAAAAGGTGGCAAAGATAATGAAACCTATATTCTCTGGTCCATACTATGACAGCTGAATTGCACATGGAAGGAGCAGAATATCATGAGAAATGTTCTGTCCACAAAACACCCTCTGACCAGCCTGCCATTTGACAGTGCTACCCACTATCTCAGTTACTAGTTTGTACTACTTTTGGTTGAAATAACGGAAGACCCATGCTTAAGTGCATTTCTTTGGAAGAGAACAAGATAAGACTATTGCCACTCCCTTACATTGGGTTAATTTTACCAGAGTTAGCAAGTATAGACATTTGTGGGGATGGGACACAGAAATGATATGCTTATGGGGAGAGGGAATAATTAGTCTTTCTCAACAAAGGTGAGTAACACTGGCATTTAGGCTAGACAATTTGTTATATGGGTCTGTTGTGTGTATCACAGGACATTCAGCATCTCTAGCCAGCACACACTAAATGCCAGTAAGGGCACCTAGTCTCAGAAATCAAATATCTCCATTTTCAAATGTTGCTCAAGTGATGAACCACTCAACATAGACATGTGTTTAACATAAAAAGGGTATAGACCAAATTGGAAAATCTAAGATATCAGGGAGCATGAAGACACTAGATCATGGAGAAGTTGTCCAAATTATGTGTGTGTTAGGGATAAAGAAGAAGAGACTAACACTAGACAAGGTCAATGTATGTCCTCTTCATGAGCAAGTGAAATCTCTGTAGTTTTACCAATAACAGAGTGGGTAGAAGAAAGGGCATTTGTGTGACCAGAAGAGCACTAGACAACTATACCACCCAAACCTCAAGTACACTAGAGATTCCTTGCTGAGAAACTGGGTGTCTGAAGCAGTTCCTATTTCCTGAGAGGGAAATTTATCTGAGAAAAGGGCCATGCTAGTGATGATCTTGACCTCACCCTCAGATACCTCTGTGGCCTACATTCACCCTAGGAGAGTACATTCAACATAAAGTATCATCTGCCCAGAGAACTGAAAAACATCCAAGCCTAAGAGTCAATTGCTACTTTAACACAATAATTGTGGGAGGAACTATGTGGAACTGGTCACTGCCCTAATCAGAGCAGCAGCAGGGCTCTGTATCATTGCTAGGAGGCTAAAAGAGTTCCAGACCTGGACATGAGAAAAGAAACACAAAATCTTCCAAAAATCTTTTGCTGGATGTATTGTCATACACATGTAATTCTAGCACTTCTAGGGAGTGTAATTCTCCATCTAGGGAGATGGAGGCAAGAGACTGTAAGTTGGAAGCCAGCCTGTGCTACCTAGTAAGATCCTGTCTCAAAAAAACCAAACCAAACGAAAAACAAACCAAACTTTCCCTACTTTGTCAAGAGTGTATGCCGATCTATCCCCTTCCTATAGCTATTTTCAGTCTCCTAAAGATTGTAAACAGTGAAGGAGTCTAGTACCCCAATCAATGTTCTTACCTGAGAAGTCCAGCTACATCTTCCCCGAGCGTCTCTTGCATGCGCCATTTTTAGACACTGACTGACTGTCTTTTCCTCCATACCCTCAGTACTGAGGCACGGGCCATGCTGTGTTTGAGCAGAAATGGGTGGATCTGAGAGCCGAACACTACATGGTATACTGCCACATCAACCCAGGAGTTGAATTGAATCACTCAGTGGTCTGCCTGGCAACATCTTACTCCCATAAATCACAGAATTGTCTATCAACACAGCAGTCTCTTGAACATTCTCAAAATGTCCCACCAGCAATCGCCAGATTAATGCACAATATGCTCTACAGACTTTGAGGGCATGGAAATGCTAAAAGAGGGAACAAGCTTGAAATACAAGGCGAATCGTGGTTTGAAAAAAAATACTATAACTGAGCATGTCTGCCACCCATTGGCAAAGCAGGCTCTGTTCCAGAGATGAGAAGTAATAGAGAAGAGATATGGGCTCCCCCTCCAGCCATAGAGACCTGGCAGGCAGTGGAATTAGAAGCCAAACTTTGGCCAGGCAAGTCCTAAAGAGCTTGATCTCAGCTGTTCAGTTAAACCGTATGTATCTTATTGGGCTGAGTTCCCTAGTACACATAATTCGATTCCTCTGGTATAGCAGGAGCATGAGTGGGATAAGAATTTTGCAAAACCACATTTTGTGAGTGGTGATGCTCATTATGCTAGCTCATATTCACTGAATGCTTACAAAGTCAAAGGCTTCCTAGTCCTTCACAATCATGATTGTACTTCATTATTTCATTAAAATTATGAGATAGGTGAGCGTTTTTATTTTCCATATATGAAAACAGAACCTCTAAATAATTTTAGTAACTTGTCTAAGGCCATCAAGCCAGAACTAGTATCCATCCAAAGGTTTCCACTAGGGCTACCAAACTGAAGCACATGCCTGCAGGTTATGGGGAAAGAGAGGAAGGAATCTGGTTATCTAGACATAGAGACCTAAAGAGGATTGTAATAGTGGTCTAGGTAAGATTAAGCACCAGAGTAAAGCAGGAGGAGGAGAAACTCTGTCTTTTGAGGGTCATTTTATAGGCTGTTTTCAAGCCAAGAGAAGGTCCTACTTTGCTATGTCATCCATGTGGCCAAGATACAGGCAAAGCACAGGTCTCATTCAGCTGGAACATGTTCTACATGACTCGGCAGCTCAGTGCTGCTTCAAATGATTTGGACAACCCAAAAGAGTAACTATCTGTATCCAACATTCTGAAGAAAGAAGCAAATAGCAAGTAAAACAAAACATTCATTTATCATTATTTGTAAGTCAAGTTTTCCTTCTAAATCCTTCCAAGAGAAGTCCTGAGCTCAAGCCATATTCAATTCAATCCATTCTACTTCTTCCCAGACAATCCTAAGTCTAGTAAAAGCTTTTTGTTGGTTACAAAATCTTCCCACCCTGCAGCTCCCTCCCAATCCTTTGCTAGCTATAGAGTTAAACCAGGAGATGGCCCTGGATATTGGTATCAAAGGAGGTATATATAAGAATTTATTCCTTATGAACTCAGACTGGCTTTGCCTGACCTCCAGGAAGTTGAGTACATCTTGATCTGAATTTCAGGCATAAGACATTGCGGTATATGTTGGAAAGGTCTTTTTAGATTCACCTGCTACTGGAAGAAATGAGAAGGATTTCAGAGCTACAGATAAAGAATGTGTCAAAGACACTAATCAGGAAATCAAAATTTTAAAAGAATGAGAGATCATGTGATTATTGCCATCCACCCTCAAATGTGATCATTTCATGCAAGGCCTTGGGTCAGGACATTTTGAGTAATGGAATCTGATAGAATTCTTCTAGTAATTGTTACTGGTGTTACCAATGCTACTGTTGGTCTAATGGTTTTTACATGGATAAAATTTACAGGGATTTATATTCTTAATGTTTTCACATGTGTATGTCAATTGATTCCCCATGTCATTCTACTGTATTTTAAATAGGTACAGAGTGATTCAAATATTTGTCAAAGAAAATCAGCAGTGAGCAAAACTGTTTAACTTTGATGAAAGGTTAGCATCAATAGAATCTCCCTCAAATGATGGTTCCCACTAACCAGATGTTCAAAATCTCCCATAAAGAGAGGACTCAGCACCTGCAAAGGGCCAGTGAGGGGTAAAATAACCCTATCCAAGGTGTGACTCCTCCAAGCTAATGCTTTCATTGTCTGTCACCTCTGTTTCTAGGCCTCCTGAATCCCAATCAGCTTGTTCTCCCTTTCTTTCTAGTAACCTTTTCTTTCCTTCAAAGTTCAAGTCAGTTATATCTGACTCTCCCAGCCACACTGATTGGTCTTCTCAAAACTCCATTTGGGATCAGGCATCATTTTGAGAAGCTGATGTAAGCTTTAGGCCTTTTACCTCAAGGGATGTGTATAGGCAAGCATATCGTATATGCTCACATACACATGTGAAGGTATCCGCACACATGCTTTTAAGGAATCATAGGGCTAATTCATAGAAAGAATTACCCTCAGTGTCAGAAGATGGCAGCCTTTCTTTGGGATCCTTTTACCCTTCTATCCTTCTCCCACCTTCTTCTATCAAACTCTTTCCCCAGACACTTTGCTAACACACCCCATTATCTCACCTCTAACTTCACTACCGTAGTCCCTCTCTGTCAGTCTGGGAAATTCTATTCAGGACTCCTTCTGGCACAATAAGCCAGTTAACTTGCCAAGCAGATGCCAAAAATTGTTAGACCAGATCAGTTAGGACTAACATTTAAACTGGAGTCTTCTGGAAATAAGGAGCCAACTGTAATGGGAGTTCTTTCAGAACTACTTTTTATTTCACCTATGAAAAAGGACACTTCTATCTACTCTGGAATACATAAACTACATAATACTGACCTACATGGAATTGAGACAACAGGTATAAATAAATATGAAGAGAACACAATGGCCAAGTCAGTAAGCTGATGGCCTTCACTAAATACCTGTCTTCAAACTCTATAATTCGGGTTTGTGACTGTTCACTATCATACCATTCCTTCACACACTTACCTCAACAGTTTTCAGTTAGAACTACCAAAGAGGAAGAGTTTAGGAACAAAATTCTTACAGAAATTGGCTGCATCTCCTTCTGATGGAAGAAAGACCACTGGATGGAGAGCTTGTCCCGAGAGGCCACAGTGGTGGTGTAGATGCAGATGAGAGTGACATCCGCTCCAATAGTCACATTCACATAGGCATCTGGGATGGTCACTTGTACCATACTGGCTTGACCTGAAAAGATAATCATCAGAAAACAATGGTACACATTCTCATTTTGATAACATTAATTTATTTTACCACAAAACACTTCCAGAGATATTACTTGAGAGAATTCGTGGTGATGAGGAGATGGTAGAATGAAAAATACAGAAAACCTGAGCAGGCAATAGGTGCAGGAAGAGAAATTTCAAACAAGTTACAATGTGGAGATACAAATCCTAGGTGAGATAATAGCTCTAAATTGGAGATTCCTTCTGTATAAAATCCTTACACACAGGTTCTTAGAGTCTTGTCCATCAACAACAAAGATCCATGATGTAAAGAAAAACCAGTTCTTCTCAGGATCAAGAAGGTTCCTTGAATGTGTGACCTATGGTTTTAAAACTGTCTTTTCTGCTTGTCCTAGACATATACTAATTATTGCAGATAAGGGAAACCATGGGACTTATGTTTCTTTGGGTCTGGCTTACTTCACTTAATATAATTTTTTCCAAGTCTTTCCATTTCCTAACAAATGGAGTGGTTTCATTCTTTCTGATGGAGGTATGGAATTTCATTTTTATATATATATATATATATATATATATATCACATTTTCTTAGCTGATGCTAAGCGAAATGAGCCACAAGATAGGGACACAAGAGATTTTATCTTTCTTGCTGTTCGTTTTAATGTACTTATAATGTACTATGTGATTTTTTCTGTTTCTTTGTATGTTCTTCCCCCGTGGTATAACCCCTGTTGTCACTGTATTTGATTCCTGTGCTCTGCATGTGGTATATACATTTTTCTAATTTGGGAAGGGAAGGGAAATAACAAAATGCTGAAATAAGGATACAGATACCCATTGTAACAATGAGATGTACAAGACACTATGTTGAAAATGAACTTTACACCCTTGGGGGAGTAGGAGTACTTTACACCCTTGGGGGAGTAGGAGTTGGAGAGGTGGGGATGAAAAGGATGGTAAGGGAAAAATAAAGGAGGGGGTAACAATGTTCGATAGAAAATGGACTCATTATCTTGCTCATGTAACTCTAACCCCTCTGTACAGTATCTTTAATATATATATATTGGGGTGTGTGTGTGTGTGTGTGTATATATATATATATATATATATATATATATATACATACATATAAACTAATTCTCAAAATAGTTTTCTCTAGCTTTCAGGGCTGAAACAAGGAAAATCTCAGGCAAACTGGGGTGATCTGATCTCTAACACCATGCATGGGGTGGGACATTGAAAGATCAACATTATATTCATAAAAAATAATAGCCCCACATTAATTTTCTTTTGCACTCTCATCCTCTAATGAGTATACATGAGTATACAAAATCGACATGACTAATAATAATGTCAGTCCACTTTCTAATGTTTAATGCAAGATATTCTTATATACATTTTTAACTTTTTTCCATTTTAATTTCCCAGTAAATATAGCTAGAAATAACTCACATACAGGAAATGTTTGTGAGATGCTTAATAATTTTTTGGTCTGTGCTAGATTGAACATAAGGCCTTGTGCATCCTAGGCAAGCTCCCTAACACTAGGCTCTATTGCCACCCCTCTGTTACTGATTTCTAGCTTGATCCAATTATGATCAGAGAACATACTTCTTATTATTTCAATTATGTTTCACTTTAATTAACTATATTAATTACATTTTAATTTTAATTATTTTCAATTATATTTACTTTTCTTGGGTTTTATGGCCAAGCTCAAGGTCTTTTTTTGTTAACATTCTATAGTAGCTTGGCATGTTCATAGGTGACATGTCCTATAACAAGAGATAGGATTTTAAAACAATGTGACTAAGCCAATAGAGATGCTATTCACAATAGTTCACTTTCTTTTGATATTCTGTCTAACAGAGTTATTAGTTTCTGAGTTTTTGAGATTCTTTACTATATCTGGATTTTCCTCTTTCTCATTTAAACCCTACCAGTTTTGTTTGAATCTGCTGTTTTATGTGGTCACATGAAGAATCATTAGGCTCTCCTGTTGGATTGATTCTTTTATCTTTAGGGAATGTGTATGCAGTGTGTGTGTGTGTGTGTGTGTAGTAGTAGTAGTAGTAGTAGTTTCCTTTGTTCTTAAATCTACTTTATCAGATATATAGCTACCCTAGGTTTTAGAAAAATGTTTATACAGTATATATTTTTCTATCCTTTTTACATTCAGTCTACTTATATCTTTAAATTTAATGTGAATTTCTTTGGATCTATATAATTGTAGTTATAGCCAATGTGACTGCATTTAATAAGTAATTATTGGAAGGTTAATTCCTAAGTATGCCATTTTATTATTTGTTTTCCATTTGTTTCCTTTGGTTCCTGCCTTGTTATTGGTCACTTGAACATTTTTATGCCAACAATATTCATCTATGTATTAATGTAAGTATCTTTGCATAGTTTTCATAGTGGTTGCTCTGGGCATTACAATATTAATATATGAGTCATAACAGTCTATCCGTATCACTATTTCACCACTTTGAGAAAAGTGTACAAACCTTTTTTCATTTAAGTCCATTTACCTTCTCTACTTCTAAATTTTATTCTTCTGATTATAAGAATGCTATTGGAAGCTGGGCGCTGGTGGCTCACGCCTGTAATCCTAGCTACTTAGGAGGCTGAGATCTGAGGATCACGGTTCAAAGCCAGCCCTGGCAGGAGAGTCTGTGAGACTCCTATCTCCAATAAACCACCAGAAAACCGGAAGTGGCACTGTAGCTCAAGTGGTAGAGTGCTCGCCTTGAGCTGAAGAGCTGAGGGACAGCACCCAGGCCCAGAGTTCAAGCCCCAGGACTGACAAAAACAAAAAAACAAAAAAAAAGAATGCTATTGGAGCTGGGAAGTTGGCTCAGTGGTAGAGTGCTTGCCTTGCATGCATGAGGCCCTGGGTTTGATTCCTCAGCACCACATAAGCAGAAAAAGCAAGTGGTAGAGCACTAGCCTTGAGCTGGAAAGCTGAGAGACAGCGCCCAGGCTCAGAGTTCAGGCCCATGACCGGCAAAAAAAAGAAAAGAATGCTATTGGGATTTTCTGGTTTTGTTTTTGTTTTGTGCTGGTCCTGGGACTTGAACAGAGGACCTAGGCATTATCTCTGAGCTTTGTTTTGCTCAAGACTACTGCTCTACCACTTGAGCTCAATTTCCAGTTTTTTGTTTTTGTTTTTGGTTTTTGGTTAATTGGAGATAAGTCTCAGGTCTCTGACTTCAAATCACGACCCTCAAATCTCAGCTTCCTGAATATCTAAGATTACAGTTGTGAGCCACCATTGCCCAGCTAGAATGATATAGTTTTTGTTTCAATCCTCACATGATTTGTGAAAAAAAAAAGTGAGAAATATGTTGATGAACTCAGTCAGAGAACAAAAATGACAAAAAATGGAATTTATATCTGGTGAAACTATTCTTTGAGAATTAAAAAAAAACAGATTCCCCATCAACAGAAAACAAAAAGATTTGTAACTTACTAAAATACACTTAAGGAATTGCATCAAACATAAACGAAATTACTAGATAAGCTCACCTAACGCTGTAACACTACCTACTTCGGAGGCAGGTGTTAGGGGATCATAGTCCCCAGCCAGCCTGGGCAAAAAGATGGTCACAAGACTCCATATCAGCCAAAGGCTTGGTTATAGTGAGCATCTGTTATCCTAGCTACAAGGGAAGCACAATAGCGAGGCATAGTGACACATACCTATCATCCCGGAAATAAGGGGAAGCACAAGTAGAAGGATTGTAGCCAAGGTAGGCTTGGGCATAAAGTGAGATCCTACCTTGAAAACTAAGGCATGACTCAAGTGGTATAGTGCTTGTCTAACAAGTACAAGGCCAGTTCAATCCCCAGTACTACACAGACATATAGATAGATGATAGATGGATAGATGATAAAGTAAATGATAGAATAAAGGTTCTTGTAGCATGAGGAATACAGAAGGAAAAAATGACTATATACTATAGACAATGTTGAAGAAGCCAGACACCATCTCTATCTGCCATATCAATAACTAGAGAAATAATACAATGATGAGGAAGCCAGACACTATCTCTGCCTGCCATCTTAATGCACTGGGAAGCCATTTATAGCACAGACCAAAATGGAGGGAAATGATAATCAACAACTTGAGAATGACATCTGGTTCAAACATTTTCCATTATATTTTAAAATAACATTTTATTTTAAAATTAAAACATACATGGGCTGGGAAGGTGGCTCAGTGGTAGAGCATGCCTTGCATGCATGAGGCCCTGGGTTTGATTCCTCAGCACCACATAAGCAAAAAGAAAAAAGCCAGAAGTGGCGCTGTGGCTCAAGTGGTAGAGCGCTAGCCTTGAGCTGAAGAGCTGAGGGATAGCGCCCAGGCCCAGAGTTCAGGCCCCATGACCAGACCCAAAAATAAATAAATAAATAAAAATTAAATTAAATTAAAACATACAAATGTATTAACTAATTTGAGATCTGCAAACTTAGTAATATCACATTAGATTTCAAATTGGAACTTCAAATTTTAAAGTGAGACAATATATATTTTTAGCTATTCTTTTCTTGCTCAAATTCCCAATACTAATCTATAATTCATTCTTTTTTTTTGTATATGTGTACCAGTCCTGGGGCTTGAACTCAAGGCTTAGATACTGTCCCTGAGCTTTTGTGCTCAAAGCTAGTGCTCTATCACTTAAGCCACAGCTCAACTTCCAGGTTTTTTTGGTGGTTAATCGGTGCTGTGTCTCACGGACATTTCTACACAAACTTGCTTTGAAATGTGATCCTCTTATCTCAGCCTCTTGAGTAGCTAGGATTACAGGTGTGATCCACTGGTGCCCAGTTTATAATTGATCCTTCATTACAATATATTTGTTTACTGTAGCAGTAGTTAATATTGAACTCAAGGCCTTGTGCCTGTTAGGCAGGAACTGTACCACTTATAGGGTCTCACTACATTGAAAACCGTGGTTTCAAAATATATTACTTTTAAATGCACAGTATGTACATAAACAATATTAATGTATTTTTCCAAAAGGTAATGACTGCATATTAAAAGTGCAATTTTGCAAAAGGATTTTTATTTAAATTACTTTTCCTGAATAAGAATTTAAACTGTGACCTCTAAGCAGTCATTGAAAACATTTTCACTAAAATATAAAATTCCACCAGGCATTGGTGATTCATGCCTATAGTCTTAGCTACTGATGTTCTAAGCCAACCCAGGCAGGAAAAGTCTGTGAGACTCTTGTCTCCAATTAACCACCAGAAAACTAGAAGTAGAGCTGTATATAGTAGAACACTAGCCTTGAACATAAAGAGCTCAAGAACAGAGCTCCGGGTCCCGAGTTTCATGACATACATACAGACAGACATACAGACATACACACACATGCATACATACATATATAATTCTATTCTTGGTTTAATCTTAAACATATATACGAAGCTCATTTCTTGATGTCAACACACATTTACTATGTGTCCACCATGTGCCAGGCAGCACGTGTGACACCACTTTCTCTTTAAAACAAGTACAGGTGCAGCATCAAAGTGTACACTGAAAGAAACACTATAAGTTTTTCCACAGCATTACTTGGATCAACTAGGGTCTCCTGAATCACTGAAGTGATCTGATAACTGTAAATGGCAGATATAGCTTACCCAATTCTTCCCTTCTCTGACTTCTCTGCATTTGTAAGCACAGAAACTGGCAATATATTATAGCCTATTCCCATTCCATCTGCCGGCTTTACACATTTAGATATACAGCATATTTTACACATCAAGAAAAACAGTAGTTTCACCAGATATTCAAAAGTATTGGGTACTCTGATTGGGTCTTGTTTTACAAGTCATATGTAAGAACTCAACAGTATATCATTATTTTTTATTATAAAAATTGCATACAACTTGTAATCTCCATTTTTAATGTAATAGACTTGCAGAGGAAAACTGTTAAGAAATTCACCCAAATTTAAGTAGTAGTAGGATTTCAGGGAAATTTTATTTTCTTATTTATATATTTTCATGTTTGCAACCTTTCTACAATGATCATTTATTATGTGTGCCTAATCAGCCAGTAAAATTTTTAGCTATTTTTAGGCTAATTATTTTTAAAATTATCCTAGTCAGCCACTAGTGGCTCATGTCTATAATCTTAGCTACTCAGCAGGCTGAGATCTGAGGATCATGGTTCGAAGCCAGCATAAACAGGAAAGTCCATGTGACTCTTATCTTCAATTAACCAACAAAAAGTCAGAAGTGTAGCTGTAGCTTAAGTGATAGAATGTAACATTGAGGGGAAATAAAAATACTCAGGGATAGCACCCAGGCCCTGAGTTAAAGCCATAGAACTGGCATACACATGTTAAAAAAAATTACCCTTGCCCACATTCCAAACCCTGTGTCTAACATAGGCCAGCTTAAGGCTCATTCAAGGAAATAGGTATTGACTATAGGTATGGTTCCTGAGAGCTGGTGACAAAGCCTGGACTTGACCCAAATGGCTAAGGATTGGAAGAAGAGACAAAGACTTTAACTACTAAAATTACATTTAAATGAATATTCTATGGGGTAAGAAAAATAGTAATGTGTGTCTACGGCCTGTTTAGGTCATGAGATGAATGCAATATTGGCTTCTGATGACTTGACTCCTCCCAATACCTGAGTTTAGAAATTAGAAATGAATGTTCAAACAATTGTTACCAACCACAACATAGTTTTGAAAATGAACATTTTTTTCTAATTGTAAAAAATGTATAGGCTCTGGGTTTGATACCCAACACTGAAAAAAATCAATATACAACATTCCTTTATAAAAACAGGAAATTTTGGGACAGAATATCATAATTATGTAGAAATCTATTGTCTAGAAGTAACCACCATTTGCACATTATCTTTTATTAATTTATTATAGCTGTTTGTGCATCCCACTTTTTCAAATACTTTATCCTAAGCATATTCTTATTTCATTAAATATGCTAGTCAATCTCATTTAGGAATATCTATAATTACTGATAACTTAAAGTATCCTCTGTGTGTGTGTGTGTGTGTGTGTGTGTGTGTGTGTGTGTGTGTGTGTGTGTGTGTGTGTGTGTGTGTGCTAGTCCTGGGGCTTGAATTCACAGCTTGGGTGCTAGTGCACTACCACTGAGCCACAGCTTCAGTTTTGGATTTTTTTGGTGTTTAACTTGAGGTGTGAGAGTCTCACTGAATTTCCTGCCAGGGGCTAGCTTTGATCCATGATCCTCAGATGTCAAACTCCTGAGAAGCTAAGATTACACACACTAGCCACCAATTCCAGCATTAAGATATTCTCCTTTTTTCCATGCAAGGATAATATTTGAGCCTCTACTTCCAGCTTCGTGGCTGGAATAGAACTTCAGTCCTCTGATCTCAGCGAGAAGCTAGGATTACAGGTGTGAGACATGGGTGACTGGCTTAAAATAGCTTGACAAACACTATTATTGTATCTATCATAGACATAGCCTTATCATAAGGAGAGATTGGTATTTGAAAAAAAAAAGCCCAAAGATTTTCTGTATTAATCGTCTCTCCTGAGTGTAATGTTAGGATTTTAAATTTAAAAAAAAATTTATTCTCTACACATTCCCTACAACCACCCATATTATACACATTGATAAAAAAGCCCACAAAATATAAAATATAATCTTAGTTTGGAAAAGCACAACTCTCAAGAAATATAATACAATAAAACACTTCACATATCTCTATTCTTCCCACATTTATGTCTGGCTCGAACGCAGGCTCTACCTGATGTAACAACAGAATACAATCATCACAAAGAGCTTAGAAGAAACACTGAAGTAAAACAGAAACTCCCTTGCTGAGAAAATGCATTTGTTCCCCTTTGAAACAACACAATATTAATACAGTCTTGCCTCCCAAATATCAGTATGACACAATTCGCTAAGCAAGAATTCTACAAATGACTCAATATACTAGTCACGAGTCCTTTTAAGCCTAGGAGAGAAAAAAAATTCTATATAAGAGTTTGTTATTTCAGTCTAAAACAAAACTCCATTTCCAGTTTAGAGTTTCTTTTCTTACCTATAAGGCAGCTTAGGATGAGGAAGAATTTCCAAAATGCAAACACCATCATGTAGAGTTCTTAGTGGAGAGCAACAAGTGCCTGTGTCTCGCCTCGACTAAGTCAAGTCTCCAACTGGCTTCTTCAATCACACCGAGGTTTGCCAGGCTTATCTTCTGGGCATCACGGAGCAAATATGCTTCCTCAGGCTTACTTATTGGGTACAGAGCTTTCTCAGAGCTGCTTTGTATTTCTTTGCAACAGTTTTCAAGGGGTGTGTCTCTGATATATTTGCTACTGTGTTAATAATAAACCCATGTATTTAAATTCTTCAAGCTCTTTATACACAGATTCTCTGAGTCTCATTGTTTCAACTCAATCTTTTAAAAAATTGTACAAGGAGGGGTGAAGACACAGTTTGAATAAAACCTATGCAAATAAAGGCTGACAATGCTAATTAATTTCAAATATTTCCATGAAAATCTTGTAACTGATTTACCTCTTTTCACTAATTAGGCTAGTAAATTGATGATACGATGTTTCCTGGGGAGATGGGGTTTTCAGGAGGGGCACAGGAGATTTGAAGCAAATAAAAAGGATTCATTTCTACACAAACAAAACCTGAATATGTCACTTTCTGATTTGAAGACCTGACAATTGTTACTAATCTCCACAAAAATTGACAATACAATGAATTGCATGCATTTGTTTCCCAAGTTAGAAACTTTATAACACTTATACCCTACCCTGATTTTATAAAATGATATTAGTAAATAAATGCTTCAAAACTTCCATTAGATTAGTCTGAATTTTTTTCAAAATAAGCTTCCTTAGTAGATGGGATAGGGTTTCTTTAGAAGTGGAGGTTTACTAGGAGGGTAGAGAAGACTGCATAGGTGGGGAGCCTTCCTGAGTTCCTATCAAAATCCAGTTAATGTGAGCAACTTAAAGGCCTTTGACTATTCCCTATCTCTAGATCCTGTTGTTTCCATGTCAACACTCACTCTCACATGGGTCCCTTCCTCAATCTTCTTCTTCCATTGTGATCCAGATACTCAGCACCTCACCTCTGGCTTAACTATAACCGCTTCCTAAATGGTCTGTCTACCTGACTTCTTCCTTCATCTTGTATATCAGTCACAGACCAATATTCTAATTAAATATTCTAACTAAATTAAATTAAATAAATTAAATATTCTAAATAAATAATATTCTAACAGACCAATGTTCTAATTAAACTTTTTTTCAATAACATCCATTATAGACTTTTCCCAGCAAGTCCAAAGTCCTACATCTGCATTCTCAGCCTTCCATGATCTGGTCCTCTCCATGTTTAAACTTTAGCCACATTCAATTATCCACCTGAAAAATGTTGCCAAGGTTTATCACTCAGTCTTTAATCACAGGAAATCACACATTTCAAATGATGTGCTTTAATGTACAGGAAATTTTCATTTCTTTTAAATTAAGAACCCACCTTAATGAAGAGAAGCTAATTTCCCCTTGATTGTCTTTTTCACAATGTCTCAAACAAATCCCGACATTCTAAAACACTTAAGCAAAATACCTAAACTGCCTCTATGCAAAACCTATCAGGGGCAGGAGGGATTCCATTATAACAAATTCTAAGAGATCACCTGAATTTTTATATTAATTGACTATTTGTTTAAAGAAGTAGGTAATTAACTGGCACATGAAATATCGACCTTTATAGTTTTAGAAGGCTTTATACTTTTTAAAACTATTTTTCTATTTTACCTTCATTACTGTCCAATAAAATAAATAGGACAGGTGTAATCTATGTTTTCTCTGTAAGAAAAAAGTCAGAAATGTCTTTTTCCCAAGGCCACAAGCCACACATTGGAAACTTCAGTGTCACAGTGTGATTGGAGTGCAACAAATAAGCTACAGCCTCCAAGATTCTCCCTTGGGAACTTCCAGAAATATGTGACATTTGATTTCTTTTTCTTTTTTTAACACCTAAAAATTACAAAATTAATACAATTGTAAGGCAAAAAGATTTCATAGAACTAAGAAGTATTTAGAGGGGAGAAAAAGTCCAACATTATAGTTTGATTTTCCTGTTAAAAAGCATTTCTGTTATTCTGTCATATCCAACAACATTTGCAGTTCCACCTTATTTTAAAGCTGCATAGTATTTCATAGCATGGGTTAAATGCACATTCACAAATTCATCTACTTAAGAATTAGTACTTACCGGATGCTGGTAGATCATACCTGTAATTCTACTTCCTTGGGAGGCTAAGACCCCAAGGACTATGTTACAAATCTTATCCAGACCGAAAAGTCTGTGAAATTCTGTCTCTGATTAGCCAACAAAGTGATGGACTGGAGGCATGGCTCATAGAGTGCCAGCCATAAGAAAGCAAGCTAAAGGAAGAGCATTAGGCCCTTAGTTCAAGCCCCAATGCCAACCCACACAAAAGAGGGGGGGAAGAAATAAAATGCAATTATAAAGAGATTACTTTGTTTGTGTGACTTGGGAGCTGGCTCAGAAGGATATCTAGGCTCTAGAAGAGACCAATATCATTATTGTGGCACCAACATGACACAGAAACAGAGTCAGAGTCAAAAAGAATGAGTCAGAAGATCTGGAACTAGAAGCTTTCCATATATGTTTTTTGATCATCAAAATAGTCTTTGTGGAAAACTGCAGTTTATTGGACTTCTTTATGTACATTTTGTAGTTTAGTATGATGTTAAAAGTCTTAAATTACACATGAATGGGCACCATCTAACCAGTATTCAGTATCTAAATATTTTGTTTCTGTTATGATGGTTCCAAAGAGGATTCAAAATGCCTTAAGAGAATCACAGCACCAATCCTTTTTCCAACATCCTGCTAGGATTATCTTTTGATCAACCCTACCAGTTCTTCAAACTCTTAACTCATATATATCACTGTCTGTTTCCAAACTTGTGCTCCTTACCTAGCATTGTTGCTCATGCCTCCATTATAAGTTTCCATTGGGACATTCTTTATTTTCCCTTCATTCCAACTCTTTTGAGAATAGTTCTGAAACCTCTCTTCAGTCCATCTTCTTACCATCGCCTATGCATACTCTCTAGTTCAGCTTCCAATATCTCTCATTTAGATTTACTATACCTTCCTAGCCTATCTCCTAGCCTCTAATAACCACTTCCCCTCTCTCAAATCTGTCCTTTGTAACCCTATCAGACCATTTCTCCTAAAGTCCAATTTGGACATTCTTTTGTTCAAAAATCTTCCACAACCCCATCACCTTTAGCAATAGATACAAGCATTTTTATCTGGCATTCAATTGATAGACTGCTTTTTCTGTTCTACTTGCTAATTATTTGCAACAAGGAATGTCTGAGCTGGCAGAAGACTTACAAGTGATTTCCAGACAAAACTGAATCGTCACCTTAACGTAGACCTCAGTTTTCTACCCCTGTGCTTCTGCATCTATCTGCTATTTTCTTCTCGATTACATACCAACCAAGCCTAATTGTTAACAAATATATTCATCTTATTTGCTGCTCACAAATACTAAGATCTCTATGGATTCTTTATGGAGCCTTACCCAATGTGCTCTCACGTTTGTAGACTCAGTTATGATCTTTCACATGGTTCTTAAAGTATATCTTAGCCAAGCACCAGTGGCTCATACCTGTAATCTTAGCTACTCAAGAGGCTGAGATCTGAGGACTGTAGTTTGAAACCAACCTGAGCAGGAAGAGACTGTGAGACTCTTACTCCAATTATCTATCCAAAAAATCCAGACATGGAGCTGTGGCTTATGTGGTAGAGCACAAAAGCTCAGGGACAGAGCCCAGCTGCTGAGTTCAAGCCCCAGAACTAGCACAAAAATGTATGCCTTATCTTTTGTAGATTTGTCCTCTTTATGTCTTCAAGACTGCAAGCTTCTAAGGAGGAAGGAGGGGATGAGGACTGGGTGATTTTATGCACTTACATGCTTTTTTTTAACTGTATTTTTTGTCTTTTCTTTTTTGGTACTGGGGATCAAACCCAGGATGTTGTACTTGCTAGGCAAGCGCTTTGCCACTGAGCTATATCCCAGCCCAGCACTTACATGCTTGTTTGAGGTGAGGCATTGTGCTAAGAGCTTTAAACATTATCCAACTTAATATTCCTCACAGCCTGTTGAGGTAGGTAGTGTTATTGTTCTCCTTTTGTAATTAAGGAAATTGAACTACAGAAAAATTAAGCAATTTGCACAAATGTCTTAAATGACAATAGGTGGACTCAGGACTCATATTTTTACCCCTCTTAGCCTATCTCAAATATCCCTATTATATCGCTTGTTGTCTTACTTCATATGCACACTTAGATAGTGTTCTATACTCCTTAGAGTACACCAAATGTTGTACCTTTCAGTTTTCTATTCCTATTCTTTACTGTATAAAGCTAGTGAGCAGCTATTTTCTATCTTGTGTTACCAGCCCCCTGTTGTAAAAGGACTCCCAGTCATCCTTTCCGAATATGGCTGCTATTGATTAAAACTTTAGTTCCCCAGTAGCCATCTTCTTGCTAAAACTGAGGCACAGAAAAATATTTAGATTATATGAACACCAGAGCCAGGACCTCTGGAGCATATGCTCTTAACTTAAGGCTAACTTACTGCTGCTTTAAGAACCCGGTAAGTGCTGAACAAATGTTTGGCTAATCCACTTTTCACACTCATGGCATCTATTTTGTATGCTAGCAGTCATGTACATGCATACAGTCTTATATATTTGTTGAAAAACAAACCTAAACCATATTACCAATATTAACAATAACAACCAAAATCTTCCTTATCCAAGGTTAATACTGAGTTGCCTTGAAAAAAAATAGAAAAGAGAAGCAGTCCATATTTCTACAATTCTCTAAAGAGCTGGAAACTACTTTAAAAAGTGGAATCCTCCAGTGAATTCTCTGTTGGTAAGCATGACAGTACTCCCATTGTCCTGCATACCCACATATAAAGACCAGAGTTTCTCTCAGCAGTGAACTGGTATGCACATGCATCCTTAAATAAGGCTTCTACATATCTTATTAAAAGTCTTCCAGAAGCTTCTAGAAAAAT